GGAGCAGGAGTTTATCTGAGATTAAGAGGATGGTCATAAAGACAGCAAGAAGACCAGGAAGGTGAAATCAAGGCAGCCAAGGGCAGCAAAAGTTTTAAGAATGCATTTGACTAAAAGTTCTAGACACTGCAGTGATTCGGAGCTGTCGGTGACCGGCACCGACCGAGGGAGGGTTGGACCCGCACCAAAGAGTCAAGATGGAGAGAAGAGACCACTCGGAGGCAGTTCTTCTGGGTACCAAAGAGTCAAGATGGAGAGAAGAGACCACTCGGAGGCAGTTCTTCTGGGTTCAGTTTGATCAGAACTGAGTCAAAATTTTATTTAGACTCCTTCCAACTTATATACCATTTTCTATACCCTCCAGCAGTGTGATAATTACTTGCTGGGGGCGTACAAATTCCATGATGTATATCGCGCTTTACAAACTATGCATCACAAGACCATCACGAGACTTGCAAGTTCCAAGCAAACAATTCGAATTCCATGATGTCTGACGTGCTTCACAAAACTTACATTAAGGTCACAGGTGCACAATTTCAATACAGTTTGTTCAAAGTGTTTTCCATAATGTTCAATAAATCGTTCATATTCTACTCTTTGTTCTAAACCCTGACTAATACAAAAAAACTTTCTAAGTTAACTCTAGGTTCAATCCAAGTTCACTGACTCCTAATATTTTTTAACGATTAATATTATCAACTTAACACTATACTATAATCTATAAGTTTACTTAAATGACTTAATTTTTATTTATTCCATTAACCTATTATGATTCAACATAGTGCCCTGTAATTCTATAACAATTAATTCAAAACTTATTCCTTACCATGACTTATATGAGTTTCATAAATCTAAACTTTAATCTTCATATGATCTAGTGATTGGACTTTAATACTATATCTTATTAAGCTAATACCTTATCATTAAATCTTATAATTATCATTGATGTATGATTTTAAAATCATAACACTATAATTCTCATTCTATTCTAATAAAACTACGACTTTAACCCAAAACTTAAATCTTTTTTCCTAGTATATTAATACATGGCTACGTGTAAAATTTCCTATTGTCATATTAGAAGCAAAAACAACACCGTTGGGAAAATTTCGGTACACTAATCAAAAGATCTTAAAATTGGCCTACAGGAACAGGAACTAAAGTCATAATCTGAGAAAAGGAAACTTAAAAGCTTAAACAAAACTTAAAAGTTTTCTATGAATGCTTATTACTGTTTAAATCTTTTCCGATGGAAATTGTATCGTCTTAAATGTATGTTTTCTCCAAACAAGTTTATTCTAAAAATCAAATAGTAGCTGTCACACTCTTGGATAATGGACTGCACGGTTACCATGACAATGGCCACGGGCTGAAGTAAACAGGGTTTCAGCATGTAACGAAACTAGAAAAACGTTCTGCCTAGCTAGAGGCAGGGCAATAAAACCATTATGGTAATTTAGTTTCTAATCTTAACCCTAGGAGAAACTGCCTACAGGAACAAGAGCTGACTAACCAGTCTACCAGGAAATAGAAGCTAAAAAATATCTAGAAAGAAGTAAAACTTAGAAGGGACAAGGTCATATAAAATAATTCTGCTGTGCAACTTTCCATCAGGTGTATAGAGATTTACTTATAAGTTTTCCTGCCATGTATGCACACTGGTCACTAATCACACGCCAATATTATAGGTATAACTGATATCCTATGTCAGAGGCGATCTTCCAGATGGGCCTTTACAGGCCTCAGCCATGTAGCGAGAGATGTTGGCTCCCGACACGGAGCAGAATAAGGATCGAAATTGACTTTTAAACTTAACAAACAGAAAACCATCGCTGACCTTGGTGGAGATCTGAAGAGTGACAGAGAGAGAAATCAGGTCACATTGGCCTCAAAAAGTGAATGGGAGATAAAAGCACAATGCACAGCCAACAGTCAATACTGGCTTGATAAATGCTTAATAAAGACCCACACTTTTATGTGGGTCTTATTAGGTTGAACCCTACAAAGTGGCTACTGTGATAGGTCTCAAACAGTCAAATGTAAGAAATGCCCTATAGTGTAGCCTGATATGATTGAGAATGCATGATATGGGCTTTATTTTGGCTAATCGTGTTCTATCAGAAACTCAGACAAGAGCATGACAAAAGTATTCCTCTGCCCAAGTCCCTTAGCTTCTCTTGGACCGGTTTTTCTCATCTTAAAATTCAGATACAGATATAGGTGATATAGACACAGATCTCCACGTACACACAGATATCGATGTATAAAATAATGCTGCCTTGTAGAATTGTCATGGAGAGTAAATGAGTTACTTCCTGTTCAACAATGGATGAATAAATAAACAAACTGTGGTCTGTTCACACTGGAATATTATGCAGCCTTCGAAAGGAAGGAAATTCTGGGGGATTTTTTTCTTTTTATTATAAAGATGTGGGGTGCAATTCAGGGTTAGGTACACAAACATTGATGATGCAGGTACCCTTGTTGATGAGGTATGCCCCTCCCTCCCCTAGCAGTTTCCCTCAACTGCCAATCCCACCCCCTACCACCGACAGTTTCCTGCGACTACCAATCCCTTTCTTATAGTATCATAATTGTCCAAGTCCCACTTATGAGTGAGAATATATGGTGCTCTGCTCTTTGTTTCTGTGACAGAGCACTGAGAATGAGCAACTCTAAATCCATCCAAGTTGCTGCGAAGTCCATATGTTTGTCCTTCTTTATGGCTGTGTAATATTCCATTGTGTGTATGTACCACATTTTTTTATCCAGTCCAGCTTTGATGGGCGGTGTGGTTGGTTCCATGTTTCTGCTATTGTGAATAGAGCTGCAACACACATACATGTGCAGGTATCTTTTTTGTAGAATGATTTGAGTTCCTCCGGGTATATTCCTAATAGGGGAAGTGCTGGGTCATATGGAAGGCCAATTTCTAGTTCTGAAAGGAAGGAAATTCTGACACATGCTACTGCACAGATGAATCTGGAAGATATTAAACTATGAGAAATAAGTCAGTCCTGCAAAATGGCAAATATCGTGTGACTCAACTTACATGAGATCAAATTAGAGAGACAGAAAGTAGAATGGGGAACTTGGAGAATTTACAACAAGAAAAGAGAGAAAAAAACAAAAAAGAAAGAAAGTAGAATCATGGTTGTCAGGTGCTGGGAGAGAAGGGGAATGGAGAGTTACTATTTAGCGGGTAGAGACCATCAGCTGAGGAAGATGAAAAAGTTCTGGAGACAGATGATGGTGATGGTTGTAGAATATTTAAATAATGTATCCAATACCACCGGCCTGTACACTTTAAAAATGGTTAAGATGGCAAACTTTGTTATGTGTATTTTACCACAATTTCTTAAAATAGTGGGAAGAAATAGAAGAAAAATTAAATGAGTTACTTCTAAAGCACTTAGTAACTGTCATGCAAGTGTTTGTTAAATAAAAAGAAGCACAGCTTTGTATACCTAACCCTGAATTGTACCCCACAATTTTAAATAAGTTAAAAAAAAAAATGAAATTTTTTAAAAAACACAGCAAGTTGGTACATGCTAAAAATGCCCCACAGCTAGAGCTGAGGGCAAGAAACAAGCCCAAAGATATAAGAATGAAAGTATGAAGCCAAAAGTCAAGCTGAGAAGGGCCTCGGGTGAGAAAGGAAGAGCAATGCTTCCATGTCGGATGGGGGAAGAATGGAAACGAGGTGGCAGAATTACCTCCCTATTCAAGAGAACCACGTAAAAGTTCATTCGACCACATTTCTAAGGAATCACCCACCAGGTGCTGTGCACTCCACCACATGCTGCCAGCAAAACTGAGAAGATAATTGGCCTCCCTGTCCAGATAGGCTGTAGGGAGGCACCCAGATAAACCGAACGTATAACGCCATGTACACTTAATAGGAACAGGCCAGACAGTCTTGTGATTCTCAGGGCCAACTGGAGGTGGGACGTAAAGGGGACTTGCTGTGGCCTGTGTTTACACCTACACAGAAAGAGACCAGAATTGTGATTAGGCTCAGAGCATTCATAAGACACCTGCCGCCTCTCAGGCCCTTACCTGGAGAATGAGGGAGCATGCAGGTAGGTGGAACAGTGGTTCTCAGCCTTTTTAAACACATTGTTTATAAAGGACCCACCTCCAGACAGTCTGACTTAGCTCACTGGGTGGAGCCTGGACGTTGTAGGTTTGAAATCCCTCTTGGTCAAATATGCAGCCAGAATCAAGAGCCATGGATTAGAAATAACAGTTGTTCTCTACATATTACGCATCCCAGGCAAGTCTCAGGTGGTACAAACACCAAAAGCTGGAGGCAGAGTCAGGAGAAGGATGGGTTTTCATTGCTCCGCCAGAAGGGACCATCTGTGGATCTCACAGGCTTTACACGAGCACAGGAGACCAAACTGCCCTCTAACGAGGAGAAATGCACCCCACATTCTCAGAAGGGTGGCTTTCCAGGAAAGCTTAAGGTTCATGCTGCAGCTGTGCTTGTGGAGGGTCTCTCCCTGCCAAGGAGCAACAAGGGCTTCTTAGCCGGGCTCGGTGGCTCAGCCTGTAATCCCGTGCTTTGGGAGGCTGAGGTGAGGGGATTGCCTAAGCCCGCGGGTTCGAGACCCGCATGGGCAGCGAGACCTCATCTCTACAATAAATCAGAAATCAGCTGGGTGTGGTAGCATACGCCTGTAATTCTGGCTACTCAGAAGGCTGAGCCCAGTAGGTCGAGGCTGTGGTGGCCGGGAGCGGCCACTGCACTCCAGTCTGGGCGACAGAGTAAGACTCCAACTCAAAAAAAAAAACAAGGGCTTCTTCCCAGGCAAGCATGACCCACACAGGTCCCTCTCTCTGGAAGGACCCCCGTCCGCCCAGCCAACCAAGGGACCCTTCCCAGGAAAAGGCAGCTGAGGGTCTTTGCAGCCGAGCCCCTCTCAGCTCTCACTCTACGGGAGCCCAGAGGCAGGAGGAGACCCAAGGGGAGAGTGGTGGCAATGACCAGTACTCACTGCTGAGTGACCCCGGGGTGCAGGGCAGCCTGGGTCTGTGCCGCCAGGTGGCCCAGGAAGCTGCGCAGGGACGGCTGCCTCGAAGGAAGCTGAAAGTGCAGGCTGCTTATCTCCTGTTCCAGGTCTTCTAATCTTTGTTTTAAAGCCTCAGCTGGAAACCAAAAGCGATGAGAGAGAGAAAAAGAGAATGATGAAACTTAAAATAGATAACCTCAGTGTCTCTTAGCTTCAGTCCTAGTCCACCTTTGCCTTAACGACACCCTGAGAAGGTGACTGGTTTCTAGGCCAGCACTTTCATCTCTCGGTTGGTGCTTCTAAGAATCTTCTGTTTTTTTACCCACAACATGGCCCTCTTGCCTTTTATTCTTCTAACTCTCAGAGATTATGGTTAATGTATTTAGGTACGTATCCCTCACACAGAGGGCTACATAATATTAATTATTTGTAGAACCACAGAGATCATTTGGGAAATAAAACACCTGTAATTTTTACGGATTCTAGAAAATCAGTTTAAGAAATCAGTGCCCAAGTGTTGATTTTAACATTTTCTCAGAAACTTCATATCAAGATAAGCCAGTCACCATTACTAGAGCTATAGAAGCAATGTTTAAATTCTATCATGCTATAGATAACCATATATCCATCTCTGTCATAGAGGCCCTATTTTTTTTTTTTTTTTTTTTTTTTTGAGTTAGAGTCTCACTCTGTTGCCCAGGTTGGAGTGCAGTGGCATGCTCATGGTCACCACAGACTCTAGTTACTGGGCTCAGATGATCCTTCCACTTTAGCCTTCCATGTAGCTGGAACCACAGGCACGTGCCACCATGCCCGGCTGATTTTTTGATTTATTGTAGAAATGAGGTCTCGCTGCTCAGGCGGGTCTCAAACCCGCGGGCTTAGGCAATCCACTCACCTCAGCCTCCCAAAGGCGCGGGATTACAGGCTGAGCCACCGAGCCCAGCTGCCTGGCTAATTTTTTAATTGTTATTTATTGTAGAGATGAAGTCTCGCCATGTTACTCAGGTTGGTCTCAAACCCCTGAGTTCAGGCAATCCTCTCACCTCCACCTCCCAAAGTGCTGGGATTACAGGCTTGAGCCACCGTGCCCGGCGGCTGTGTTATTTTTAATGACCTCAGATGTCCTAGCACAAAGTACAAATATCGAATTCCTGTAATACAATTTTTCTTTTAAAACAATTAACTGCTGATCGCATGGGAGAGGAATGGCTGACTGGGGTGCCTGTCATTCACCCTCCCCCATGGGGACGGCCCAAGGCAACGAATAAACAGCTCATAGTTGATTGAGGTGTTGAAGGGAGAGCACTGGAGTCCAAGGGGGAGCAGGAATGCACCTGTGGTGATTGAAAGTCCAAGAGAACAGCATGGAGACACCTGGCCGCTGCAGGCCTGTCTCCCCTACCCAGAGTCGGGAGGGCCTTCCCATTGCGGAGAAAAGGTAAGCGGAAGATCCCCACACCTACAGTCCTTACAACAGGAGAATCCTTTGCAAGCCCTGAGCCCAGTCTAGAGAGCTGCTGGGAATTCACACCGCTGCCTCACCCCGAATTAGAAACACAATGCCCTCCCTCCACCACACCCTGTAAGCCAACCTACTACAGCACAGTGCCATTCTGAGACCAGAGCCACCTCTGCAGTGTGCCCTGCCCTGGGGGTCAGAAACCACTGCATTTCTCCAGCACTACAGTTTCGTCGAAACCACTGCATTTCTCCAGCACTACAGTTTCGTCTGCATTCCATTAAGTTCACATGGGTGGTTAATGCCCCAACCTCAGATGTGCAGAGCTTTGACTGTGACCGCACATCGGCTTTGACTCTGGTCCTGCCCATCAAGGAAACCAACCCCTGCCGCTGCACTTTCGCCAGAGAAACAGTCTGCCAGTGCCACCCAGGGTAAACCTACTCTTGAGTCAGCCAAAAGGCTATATCCCCTCTTGCAAGCAGGAGAGGGCCCTGAACCTCCAAGCAGCCGATATGCCCCCAGGCCAGTAGAGAGGCTAGTACCTCTGCTCAGGACCTGAAAAACAGTCTCATGGGCCAACCCTGGTGAACATGCTTCCAAGTCAGCAAAGCAGCCAGATCACATCCCAAACCTCGGAAACAATTCCTTGAGATACCCCTAGTGGTGTCAAGCCGTCAAGCAGCCTGCTTCCACATCCCAGGCTAGAGAAACAGTCCTGGAAGCTGCCCCCCAACAGACACATCCCCAGGACAGTTGGGCAGCTGTGCACCCCTATCTCAGGACTGAGAAACAACCCCATGGCCCATGCTTAGCAAGTCAGACCTCAAGTTGGCTGACCCATCATGTACACATACATGTCCCCAACCTGAAAAACACCCTGGCAAGTCCATCCCTGGCAAAGCAACACTACAAAGTCCCTCAACCTAGGCCACTAAGAAGCTTGCAAACCTCACTAGTGTGGATTACAGCTAAGAAACATTATTGTATCCACCTAGAAGCAAGGCCAGCACACCCTACCAAACTGACACTCCATGACCCATTCACAAGAATAAGTCTTTTTCTGACAAACCTACTTTATAAAATTGGAAGAGAAGATTTTTCCACCAGATGCACAGAAATCAACACAGGAAAACATCAGCCATGAAAAAGCAAGGAAACATGTCATCTCCAAAGGGAAACAATTCTCCAATACTTCTGAATCATAAGGAAAAAAATGAAATGCCAGAAAATGAAGTCAAAATAATAAGCTTAAGAAAATTCAGCTAACCCTGAATTACCCCACATCTGTAAAATAAAGCATTTTTTAAAAGAAAATTCAGTAAGATACAAGAGAATACAGATAAACGATTCAACAAAATCTAAAAAACAATCAAACTCATGACTTGAGTGACAAATTCAACAAAGAAAGGTTATCATAAAAAAAAAAAAAAGAACCAGACAGAAATCCTGGAACTGAAGAATTAAATGAATTAAATAAAATATACAAAGGAAAAACTTTATCAACAGACCAGCCAAGTAGAAAAAAGAATTTCTGAACTTGAAGACTGGCCTTCTGAAATAACACAGGCAGACAGAAAAAGAAAAAAGAATAAAGAAAGACTACAGGACTTATGGGACACCATTAAGCAAAGAAATATTTGTATTATGAGCATTTCAGAAGGAGAAAAGTTGAGAAAAATATATTTAATGAAATAATAGCAGAAATTTTTTTTAAGTCTTGAGAGAGAGATGGACATTCATGTTCATGAAACTCAAAGAATCTCAAATAGATTCAATCCAAACAGGTCCTCTCCAAGACACATCATGGTCTTTTCAAAAGTCAAAGATAAGGAAAGATTTTAAGAGCAGCAACAGACAAGTGTCAAATCCCATAGAAGGGAATCTCCATTAGACTAACAGTGAATTTCTCAGCAGAAGGCTTAAAGCAGAAAGAATGGGATGATATATTCAGAGTACAAAACAAACAAAAAAAACTGCCATCCAAGATTACCATAGTGAGAAAACTCATAATTCAGAAATGAATGAGAAATGAGATTTTTCACAGGAAAGCAAAAAACAAAGGAATTCATCACCACCAGACTGGTCTTACAAGAAATGTTCAATGGAATTTCACATCTGAAAGTAAAAAGACAATAACCACCATCATGAAAACATGGAAAAGTATAAAGCTAACTGATAGAGATGATATTCAAAGGAGAAAGAGAAAGAAATCAAACCTTAGCACTACAGAACACCACCTGAAAAAATAAGAGAAATGAATAAAAGGTATACAAGACAACCAGAAACCAACCAATAAAATGAAAGGAGTAAATCCTCACTTATCAATAATAACCTCAAATGTAAATGGATTAAAGACCTCATTTAAAAGTTATAGACTGGCTGAATGGATTAAAAACAGAACCCAAATATATGATGCCTACAAGAAATTCACCTCATCTGTAAAGATATACATAGACTGACAGTGAAGGGATGATAAAAGATATTTCTTGCAAACAGAAACAAAAAGCAAGCTATACTTGGATAAATAGACTTTTTGTTAAAAACTGTACAAAGAAACAAAGAAGAGAATACAACTGTAAATATATATGAACGTAACACCATAATGCCCAGATACATAAAGCAAATATTAGATCTAAAGAGAGAACTCAATTCCAATATAATAATAGTTGAAGAATTCAACATCTCACTCTCAGCATTGGACAGATCACCTAGGCAGAAAACCAACAAAGACACTTCGGGGGGGGCAGGATGGCCACCTAGAAGCAGCCAGCTGGTGCCTCTTTCACAGATCAAATCAAAGAAGACAGCCTCAGCAGAGACCCCCTTCCCCAGCAGTTGGAGCAGGTTGACTTAGAGAACCCACCCCTCAACTTATGATAGAAGAGTACTCTGCAGAGAGCAGAGAGGAGAGAGAACAAGCTACCTGTTTTGGAGTCAGGAAGCCTCCTCTCCACCCAGGTTGCATCAGTAACACAGAGCAGCTTCTGGATGTGAGGAAATGATGAGTGCAGAACATCAAGAATTCTGCACCCCTACCACTGACTGGGAGGGTCCGCAAGCCTCAGGGGACTCCAGTCCCACAGGGAAAATAGTCTGGATATGGCTCAGACGCATGTTGCCAGAGCCCGCATGGAGCTGGGAACCCTAACCATCTTTATTTTCCACAAAGACAAATTCTGCTATTGCTGGCAGTTTCTGATTGGGGCAAACTGCAGAGGGAGAGAACCCTGCTGCTGAAAGAACTTTGGGGTTCTGAATGTGGACAGACTCTAGCAAGAGAAGGGGAGTCAGGAGGAGTCCTATTATCCTGGTAACCCTTCTTGCACTGTGTGAATTCTCCTGTTCCCCAAATGGCTCTGTCAGTCTTGCAGCACGGCTACAATGGCCAGAGGACCCATCTCTCATCCCGATTCCCACGATGTGTGCACGGGCTGGAGTGGAAATGCAAACCAGTCAAACCCAACCCACAGGAAAAACCTTGCTGCTGAAAGAAACTGTGAGTTCTGAGTGTGGATAGCCTCAGACGAAGAAATAGGAGCCCGAGGGAGAGGGGAAGGGGCTTGTTGTGCTGGTCAACTTAGCAACCACTCTCTCCTCTTGTGAACTCTTCTGTGTAACAGAGACAGCAGGGCCATCCCCACAGCAAGGCCACAGAGACCAGGGGAACTGTC